TATTCCCGCGAAGTTTTGCGGTGTAACGAGCCTCGGTAATTTCGCTGACGCCGCTGTAGTCAGACCTTGCCAGGAAGACGTCGAATCAACAATGCGAACGCGAAAAAGGGCAGGGGTACTCACACCGACGCCGAAAACATCGTATTTCAATGGTTTGTTTATGTGCGACGGCGAGCTTCTTGCCCACACCCCCATCGCGCATGCGCGGCACTGGTGGCGTCCGCTAGGGGCGCTCCGGTTTGTTCGTAAACATGAGTTGGTGTATAGACTAAAAGATACGCGCTTTCGTATCAGTGAAGATTATTCAAAGGATACCCGCATTGCAGGCAAGGCGCTTATCCGATTTTGCAAAAAAATATGAATCAGGTCTTCAAGCTAAAGCATGACAAGCTCATTATGAACGGTAAATGTTATGTCTATGATAGAATTTCTAACTCCATAAGTGAAAAATAACGGGACGCTCGGGCAACGTCAGGCCACAAAGCACGTGTCCCTCAAAGGGTGTGTTTTTCATTTTTGACTGCCAACGCAAGAAGTATATTTGATAAACAAGACACTTTCACCAGATATCAGCAATGATGAACTCGCGTTATCTTCTAGTCACTCAATCTACGGGAGGGACAGGGTGGCGCAGAAAGGCGGCGGGGTTCTTATCGCTGTTAAAGATTCCTTGCAAGCTCTGAGTCACGGCGTCTCGCACGATATGGAAGCAGTATGGGTCCGTATACATGCTGGGTGTGGTTCATTGCTGATTATGGCATGTTACAAGCCACCGTCGGTAATGAATTTTCACGATGCTTTTAACGGACACCTGAATCTGTTAACCCTGCCCTACCCGACGGATACACTTTTCATCGCGGGCGATTTTAATTATGGTGACATTTTATGGCCAACGTTGCCCTCGCGAATGTCCCCCGAGTACATTCAGTCTCTTTCTTCGAACAGTAGAAAGTTTATTAGAGTAACTAAATCATTTTCACTAAGTCAATCTGTGGGATAGATTTACACGTAATAATGCAACATTAGACCTGTTTTTCACTTGAAAGCCAGAGTGTATTATATCTGTCAGTTATTTAGACCAGCTAAGCGACCACGTCTCTGTTTTTGTGGAAGCTTCCATTGCTACAAAAGGATGCTTACCTTCGACCAAACTTGTGTACAATTACCCCCGAGCAAACCAGAAAAAATTACTAGATGAACTGTCGCACTTTTCACTAAGTTACCTTGAAGGCTTTAGTACTAGGTTGGTGCATGAGAACTGGTGTTTACTTAAAGGCCGACGTACAACCTCGGTTTTCAGCAGGGAAGATAATCCTTTTAGAACTCCCCTCTCCTAAACTGCGAGGGGAGCCAAATTGGGAAAAGGTAAAAAGTGGAGGGAGCATAGGAAAGAGGCGGGCAACAGTGAAAAGCGTGAAGTGCACGTCGGCCTTTAAGAATACTTTATTAGACTTGCTAGATAATCACATCCCTAAAGCAACTATTTGAACCTCAAAAGAGCAGCCGTGGTTTAATACCTTTCTGCACAAGCTTTTAAACAAAAAGAAAATACTTTTTAAGCGAGCCAAACAGTCTAATATAAGCAGCGTTTGGGACACTTATTACAGATGTGCATCAGTCTGTAAAAGCGAACTAAAAAAGGCACGGTTTCTGTTCTATAACACTTACCTGAGTAACCTTCTGAAAACCAACCCTAAGAAATTCTGGTCGTTTGTTACACCTCAGCAACATAGGACGTTGCCTTCGTTGGGTAACTCTCTACACGCAGTAGAAGAGCTGTGCAATAATTTTAATAATTTCTTTAGTTCTGTTTTCACTAATGGAACTCATCCATAGCCCATAAATTTATTTGATTATGATATCTCGAGTGCTATGGGGACAATTGCTATTTCTCATGAGGGCGTCGCTGCCACTCTATCAAACCTTCCCCTAAGTTCAGCACCAGATCCGGACAAAATCACCTCCAAGCTCTTACAGCTTTGCAAGGATATAGTTTGTATTTTACTGGCAAAGCTTTTTCAGCAGTTTTTGGAAACGGGCATCATACCGGTAGATTGGAGAACCGCAAACGTCATCCCCATTTTTAAAGGAGAGTTCAAAGAAAGCGGTGATAACTACCGTCCTATATCGCTGACAAGCGTACCTTGTAAAATCTTAGAACATATTCTTTTTTTCTAATATTATGAACCACTTGTGCGAAAACAATTTATTATTTGTAAACCAGCACGGTTTTTGATGCATGCTGTCGTGAGAAACACAGCTATTTGCGTTTGTTTCAGACATTCATGAAAATTTACACGCACTTACAGAAACGCACGCGATTTTCATAGACTTCTCGAAGGCGTTTGACAAGGTCCCACACAAACGCCTTCTTTTCAAATTACAGTCAGCGGGAGTCGAACCGAGTGTTTTATGTTGGATACAAGCATTCCCAACCAACCGAACGCAGCATGTCACGAGTAACGCTTGTTCTTCTGTTTCTGACAAAGTTAAATCCGGTGTGCCCCAGGGAACCGTGTTGGGACCACTGTTATTCCTTGTTTACATAAACAACCTTCCGCATTGTATCAAATCCAATATAAGATTGTACGCTGATGATTGCGTGCTTTACCGAAAAATCACCGATATATCGGAGAGCGTCATTTTACAGCAAGATCTTGACAGCTTTGCGTTTTGGTGTAAAGAGTTGCAGATGGAAGTATGTAACGAAGACAAAGTGTACGTCATTTACAACTAAACGTAAGACTTTAAATTGTAGTTACATGCTCCACAACAATGAAATAGAGAAAGTTATTATTTATAAAATACCTTGGCGTGTTTTTAACAGCTAACCCCCTTAACTGGGAAACCCATATAACTACCCTTAACTGGGAAACCCATATAACGAGCATAGTTATGAAAGCAAACCGATCATTAGCTTACATAAACACCATTTGAAGTCAGCTGCGCTAGAAACGAAGCTTATTGCCTTTCACTCTATTGTAAAATCACAGCTTGAATTCACTTCGTCCGTATGGAATCCCCATCAGTCTTACTTAATAGACCTGCTTGAATCCGTACAAAACAAAGCTGCGCGTTTCATACTCCAAGACTTTAAACGTGAAAGCAGTGTCACAGCAATGAAGGATACACTTAACATTCCCCTTTGGAAGTACCGAACAGTTCGTGCGGGCCTAATACTGTTACGTAGACTGTATTATCATTCCCCAGAGTTGACGAAGCAAAACTATTGCAAACCTGCGCATCACATATCACCGCGAACTGATAATTGTTGCAAATTTATCCACGCCACGAGCGAATCTATACGAGTACTCACCATTGCAACTGTCGGCCGCTCTGTGGAACAAGCTGCCTGATGACTTGTTATTCTAGTAAATACGGACGATTTCAAAGATGCGCTGAAAGCGCACGACCTGTGTGCCAGTTGTTGAATTGTATTGTATTTATGTAAGTTTTCATTATTCTTTTGTTACCCCCCCCCCCCCCCCACACACACACTTTTTTTTTTTTTGAAAAGCCCAGAAATGGGCGATTTAAGAGTAATAAAATGAAATGAAAAAATTAAATTTACATTAAATAAATCCGATTTATTTGATTTCGTTTTTAATATCATAATTTTTCTTTTACCTGGGTTACTATTACTTATCGGCGTGAAATGAATATATGTGACAGTACCCTGGTAATCCGCACGCTGGTAACTGCAGGTGCTCTTCGCGTGATGATGTCTTGATCGAGGACGTTTTGAGTATCAATAAAGTTTAGTCATTCCCTCCATCACTATCATTGTTTTGATGCTTGGCGTCACGGGTGCCTCCTGCTTTTTTTTTCGACAAACAATGCACCGGAGAGCGATCGCGAAACTTATGAGCTAATCATTGGCGCATTTAACGGTCGCCATTGTGGCGCACGTTGAATTTGAACGCGCACTGAATGCGGACATCCACTAGACAACATTTATTGCGTGGTCGTTGGCTCCGACAAACCGCTTACTAATAACATCGTACGAACAATCACGACTGGCTTCGAAGGACAGAAATAAAGATCGGGCCCTGATATCCTCAGTCTGATTGCAAGCACGTTTTCTGGAGGCGTGTGTCGTGAAGATGCGACATGATGCTAGGTAACGGCACCAGCGTAGTGGTCGTCCTGAAATCAGCCCCATGCTAAGTAAACCCACTATTCAGAATATGAATCGAGAAAGTGAACACGCCACGGGGTCATTAGGCAGAGACGCAGTTGGCAAACAGAAATAAAACCATGTGCATTTTTGGGGTGGGCCACACCAAAACAGCACATTCTGTTATTTTGGCTGTAGCTCACGTTATTGTTTGGCCTCAATTTTGGGAGTTCACGTTCCTTGCTTTTACGTATCTTTTTTTTTTTTTTTTTATATTAATAATAGCTTTTTTTTTTTCTTTTCTGTATCCACTCAGCAGCGTGCAGGCTAAACACAAAGGTGAGGACCCTCACGCAAGTGCGCCACCTAGTTCGCTTCGGGGTGGACAAATGAACCAGGACTGTTTTATGGGGGTAAACATTCAGCAGAACGCCCGCTTCACAGAACACGTCACTTCACTGGGGCTTGCTATCAACAGGAGACGCTGCTGGGGGCTTGCCTGCTCTTCAGCGCATATTTCGTTCGTTAGTGATTCGTTAGCGGCAGAGAAAGCTCACGCCTTCAAACCTACCACTGGAGCGTAGTACGAAGCACGCGACTGTTCGCTGACCGAGTGCGCCGGACGCTCGACCGAAGAACCAAAGCACTTCCTGGAGCTTGGAAACACAAGGCCGGTCGAGTCGTCGCCGAGAGTAGGCCTCTTGGTACGTCTATCGAGATCGTCGCTATCGCTCATCGAATCAACACACCGTCACAGTCACGAGATAAGCGATGGCAGACCGGACACAACAGCGCAACATTCGTTCTCGGACGCTCGCCCGTCGACACCGTGCGCTCCGCAGTGGACGCGGAAAGACGCGTCGAGCGCGCCAAGCAAGCTTACCTGGCACTGGCTGTGTCGGAGTTGCCGTGGTTGCCATGGGACTAGGAGGCCTCGGTCAGGCCGGGGCCCAGCGTGGCGGCGGCAGCGTGGCGCTTCGCACGTACTGACGGTAATCCGTTCATGCGGTCTGTGATCGTCCAAGCGACGGAGCCTCGGGGGCCGATCGCGCTCGCCGTCGTGGTGGTGTACGCACGGTACGGCAGGCGGCGAGGCCTCACCGGCGCTGGGCCCACGGCGGTGGCCACTGCGGCGGCGTCCCAGCTCGCTTCACGGCGGCGCTTCGGCGGCTCGGCGTTGGGACCACGGGTGCGGGTTCACGTTTCCTACGGGGTTTAGGATCGACGCTTCCCTCTTGTCGTCCGTCTAACAACACACACACGCCACCATGGCCGCCGTAGAAATCCCGTCTCCGATGGCGGTCTCGTGAGAGCTCGCGAGAACGAGCTTTGCGAGAAAGGACGCCGCCGCCGCGTACGCGACGTCGCGCGCTGACTACGCCGCCGGGCCGCTGCCCTACGTGCTCGGGTCTGCGGTGGATCGTCCCGCTGCAATCCGACGCAATGCACACCGCTGTTCCTGCACCGCTTCACGGGACTTCGCGTTGTTCACACACTCGACCAATGTTTCGTTCGTACGGACATGCGCGTAGAGTTCGCACTGGCTGGTGCGCCCTGACGCGAAATTTTCGGGCGGAGATTCTGGTTTGCTCCTGAAGTTGACGGGACACCTAGCGCCATCTCTGATCGAAGTAGAGAGGTAGAGAGTTTCAATAGTAAAGTTTCATATTGCGGAATTTATTCCGAGTTTACTTGGCGGCCGGTTACGTTAGAAAGGTAAAATTGTTCGACGACCTCGTGTTTTACGGGCTCATTGTTCAGACTGGCGCCTGGTGTTGGGGGCACCGCGGATCGTCATGGCGTGACGAGCGGCATCTTCCGCATCCATTGAGAAAGGCCATCGGTTACGCGACGGCCGCTCACGCATGCGCTCCAGTGCCGCTCCTGCCGCTCCTCCTCGGGGCCCATGATCGGCGGGTGGGCCTAAAGATCGTCGCCGCCGTCAGCTCGGTCGGGGGCCCGGCAGCGTGCCTGACACTTGCGAACCCCGTCCCGGTGCCCGGACGCCCCTGGCCCGACGTCCGAGACGCGACAGAGACCGCGAGAGCTGCCGAGGACGGCCGCCCAGCGCATGCGCTCTACCTAGATGGCGACCCGCTGGCCGCCGGTGCCCGCCGCCGCTGCTCGAGGAGATGGCGTACGCCGAGTGTGTGTCCAGCGCGAGGGACCCCGCCGAGTAGCCCTGGACCGTCTCTGACGCCCCGATGACCGCAAGCAGTGCCAGTATGGGGTGAGTAGCCACCGGAGACACCCGGCTTCGCGCGCTCGCCGAAGTCTCGGGGCCGCCGCCAGCGGCCCGCAGCCCCCCACGATGGGCCCTCACGCCGATCGAACCTTTCCCAGCCTAGGGTTTCCGATCCCGGGCTGGTTTGTTCCGAGATCTCACCGACCGCGTCCTCGCTTCTCAGGGAAAGCCCGGACGCAACGCCGGCTGAGGTGCTCGCGACGCCGGTCTGCGATCGAGACGAAGGCGCTCGTGAGCCGCATTTGTCCGCGCTGCGGCGACGAGTTTTGACGCTTGACGCCTGTGACGTGCTCGTGCCGCATGCGCGCCAGCCCGCAGTCCCGGGGTCCCAGCCCCGAGTCGCCACCGCCGTTCTACGTCGGTCGGACGGCTCGCTTTGCCCAAACCGACGCGAACGGCTGCGTCGAGGTTGATTCGGGGCAGGCCCGCCCGCGGGCCGCGACCCCGGAGGGCAACAGCCGAGCGGCGATGTTTTGCTGGCGCGGGACCGGGGTCCGGGCCTCGCGGTAGCGCGGTGTTGGCCGTGTCCTCGACGCGCCCGAGTAGGAGGAAGTGGGCGTTCCGGAAGAAGCACGCCGGCGCCGCAGTCGCGCTGCCGTGGTTGCGCGGCGGCGGCGGCGGCGATGACGACGTAGCTTTGCGGATGAATGCTCCCCGTGGCCACCGTGGCCCACTTCTTGCTTGGCCGGCGGTCCTGGAAAGCGAGGCTCAGCCCCTCGTGCGGAGATTGGATTGGAACGCCTACAGTCCGTCCGCCCTCCGCGAACGCACCTGCGACCTGCCGATCGGAGACCCGTCACTACTCGGCGTGGGAGCGAGAGTTTCTCGTCAGACACACTTTCAGCATCGCCAAAATAATTTCAGACCCTTCGGAGAAGGGCGTTCCTACAAAGTCACTTATTTTGCTTGTCTCGTTTTTTTCTTTGTGCCTATTTTCTTGAGTTGACGCTCTTTTCCTTTGTGTTTTGTTTAGCTATTTCTCTCGCGCCGTGTCTCGACAACACGGAACAAGAACTGTTCCTCTGGGCTAATGAAGTCTCCTTCGTAAATAGAGGACTCCAAAAGCGTTCCGTGCCCCCTCTCCAGTTATCGTCCTCAATTCCGATTTCTTCGTCGTTCCTCCGCTGTACGAGCTGTGAAACCGGCTGACGGCGACGATTAATAAGCCCGTGCATATAAGCGCCCCTAATCAGAAGGAAATGCAGGTGCACGACGAATCCGTCGTCTGCTGTTCCCTTGGTCTCGCCGTATCTCATTTCTCGTATTTGCAGCAGCATTTTAGGATCCAGTGGCCTTGGCGCGTTTATCTTGGCCGCCAAGAAAGGCAGCTGGCAGTCAGGGGTCTGCTCACATTGACAAGAGGAACGCTGTGCCAAAAAAGCGCGAGTGAAGCCGATAAAAAAAGCTGCCAAAAATGGAAGTGTTCCCAGAACGGCGGGCGAGCAGAAGCAGACGACGGCGTGTGCGTCGCAGCTGTCGGAGCGTCGGCTCCAGCGGCCTCCTCTTTGAGCGGCGCATTTTGCTGCCTCCACTTGATATGCTCGTGTTCGCTGTCTCCAGGGGACGACCCGCTAGAAAGAATCAAGGCGCGCAGCTGCCGTGCCTGCTCCTTCGAACGCGAGAAGCGACGGTTGGTTCACTCTCCGAAGAATCCACTGCGGCCATCGAGCCGGGGCTTTTATATTGTCGTTTGTTCAAGTTTTTGTGCTTACTGAATATCGTTCGGACGCACTCGTCTTCGAACTTCCAACGTAGAGTGGTATAGCCTCCTGCAGCGTAGGATCAGCGGGCGGCCCACGCGACCCGAAACACGCCGAAAGACATGGAACGCGTGTTGGAGGCGGAGCAAACAAGATTTTTGCTTTGTACAGCACACTCTTGGCATCCGTGCTGTACTTGGAGCTTCGTGATTATGCTTTTCTGACGTTCTTGGACTACGATATCTGCGAAAGTTTTTTTAAAAAGACGAAGCCTCACAAAAAGCGCAGCCCCCCCCCCCCCCCCCCCTCTTTTTTTACTGTGTCATGGCGTCAACGTAAACGAACATGGCGGCGCCTATGGAACAGACCACTGCGGTGCCTGGAACGCGTCTGCGACTGGTCTGTTTACCGCTTCCGGAAACGAAGTCCCTCGATTTTTACCTCATGACGTCATTGAAGTGTCACGCTGTCGCCGGTCGCGATCCTGGCGGCGTCCCAGCAGCGGTGGTGGATGTGGCAGACGCCCGTTTTGCTGCGGGTCGCTTTCCAGCTTGACAGACCACAGAAGCGTCGGCAACCAGGAGTTGGGACGCCGTGACGACAGCGACACTCGGCATTCGCACGTGCTCTTTGTCGGGACTTCTATGGCCAACCACCAGGATCGCGACGTGCGACAGCGTGACACTTCGGCTTTTGTGACGTCATTTGTTGACACTACGGGACCATCTTCGATGCTCGGGCTAAATAGGCCGCTAAACGCACCAGTTGGAGACCCGTTCCGGGCACCGTGGTGCCACGTAGTCAGGATGTTACGAATATGCCCGGGATCGAGTTCGACCAAGTTCTACTTGTTCGAAGTTCCAACGTGATCTACGACAAAAACTGGATTAAAATTCGACTACGCGCAAAAATTTGGAAATGACCTGACACCACCGGGCGGAGGAAAAGTGTAGTATTTTTTGGGGGTGCATGAAAACTTGAAAACAGCGCAAAATACACGAAGGACAAAAACAAGATGTGAACGAACATAACGCTGACTGGCAACTGAAGTTTATTCCTGCAAGGAACGGAAGGGAAAACATGGGAGGAGCAATATAGATAAAAGACAATCAACCCCCTTGAGGCCCGCCTGCAAACATTTAAACAAATTTGCCGAATTTCCTGATAAATGCAACTTTGTAATTCGCCAAAGCCAAGGACGGGACACTCACACACTTGTCCTCTCCGTAGATAGCAATTAAAAAAAAAAAAAAAAAAAAAAAAAACACGTTTCGTCAGTTTTTTTTTGGTGACTTTGTTGGGGTGACGAGCCAGAATATTAATTTCCGTGAAGACCGAGAACACATACACCTATCACAGTGAACTGCAAAGTGTCCCGACGGTAAAGAACGAAGGAAAAGGGTAATGCTCCCTGGCCCTAACATAAAGGCGCGTTCACACTCTTGCAACCGAGTACGACCGAGAAAGACTTCTTGAGACCGGATGCGCTGAGCGGAGCTGGTCCTAAGAGATCGCAAGAGGCTTAAAAACCGGTTTGGTCTCTCTCGGTCGTACTCGGTTGCAAGAGTGTGAACGGGCCTTAAGGGAGTTTTCGTAGACCGCGTGTCCCCCTACGCTAAGCCCTCTGCAACGAAGAAGCCGATACTGCGCCTGCGCGCCGATGGCCTTGAGTGTCGAGTTCCGGGTATCGTTGCGGAGAGCGTTGCAAGACGGCGAAAACCACCTACGAAAGCTCCCTATTCTCACACCTCCCCGTCTGACCTATGTACACCCTATTACACGACAGAAGGATCAGATACACGATGCCCGTCGCCCACGTAACATACCGGGTGCGGTGGCTAACCACACACCGAGAGCCAGATAAAGGCCCGTTCATACTCTTGCAACCGAGTGCGACCGAGAGAGACGAGACCGATTTAAAGCCTTTTGCGACTTCTTAAGACCCGATGCGATACAACGGAGCTGGTCCTAAGAGATCGCAAGAGGCTTAAACACCGGTCTGGTCTCTCTCGGTCTTACTCAGTCGCAAGAGTGCGAAGGGGCCTTAATCCGACACGGTTAAGTGCGGTTCTGGCTCGTCACCACATCAAAGTGACGAGAGAAATTCACGCCAATTCATGCAGGGATAACCTTCAGTTGCCAGTCAGCGTTGCGTGTTCGTTCACTTCTCGTTCTTGTCCTTCGTGTATTTTGCGCTGTTTTGAGGCTTTCATAATGCACCAACTAGCCCAACTCCATGCCTTGTTGTATTGCATGACTGGTTCACATTACTGGCGAAAGTACTAAAAGTATCTATTTTGGCTTTTATATCGTTAAACAATGGTAATCAATTTATAAAATATAAAATAAACTACTTTCTAAATTACTTGTTTCCCCAAATTCGAGATCTTCGTTTAGAAGCCGGGCAACACTGGCCCATAAGTCCCATAGGACGACCAGCCCATGTCCCAGGAGGACATGGGCTGTTCGTCTTTTGAGAGCAGGGAGGCAATTAGTACCCTGAGTTGAAATTTGAACAGTGGTTGATCGAAATGGATGATACGCGGTGGGCACGGAAGGTATTCAAGTATTTATACGTGAAAAGTTTAAACACGAACTGGACGAACCGAACCCGAAAGCTTACATTTAGGTACCTAAGACACAAGTGTTGAGGCTAAGCAGACTACTTCAGTGGAAAAGGGAGTGAAAGAGGCAGAAAGAAAACTCTGGGAGGTAAGAATGCAGGAAAAATCGGCTCTAACAATGTACAGGACACAAAAAACAGGACATAAGAAAGGAAAATGTGCTTGACAATTCGCTGGGAAGTTCTTTACTGTTTCAGGCGAGAACGAGAATTCGGAGGACGAAGACGTATAGGGCTAAATTTCGGGAGACAGACACATTATATGCCGCCCGCCATAATGACAGCGAAACATTAGAGCTCTCCGTTTGGAAGTGCACGGGGCTTCTCCCTGCCCTTCCGGAAGGGGTAACAGATTTGACCGGGGCCCTGGGTTTTGCTAGCGACGATGGAAGGACGGAAGAGAAAAGGATTACAGTCACAAAGAGGCAATAGGCCGATCTCACTAAGCGTTCGGCGCATGCGTGACGCCGCGATAACTTTAGTTCTCAGGAGGCAGACGGCCGTGCACCCGAGGGCTTTTGCCTTCTCGTGCCTTAAAGGGGCCCTGCAATCATATTTAAGCGTCTACCTTTTATGCGGTTTCCACGTCTCTTGGGGTTCGGGCAAGGCAGCGGGCACGGAAAGAGTAGCTAAATATCAGTGCGCCATATTTTAACCGGACG